TGTCGATCGTGTATGAACCCTATAGTTCGGAATCCCTGTCAATTCATAGAAAACTCTCGACATTAAAAGACAGTGTTACGGTGTTTTTAATGTGTATTTTGAAAAAGGCTGTAACTAAAATACGTTGATTTGTAATAGTAGTTTACGCAACAATTGCGTAAAGATAGTGTTAACGACACGAGTAGAAAATTTAAGGTACGAGCCTTGGCGAGTGCCTTAAAAACTTCTACGAGTGTCGTTAACACTATTTACGCGAGTTGCGTACACTATTTACCTACGATGGTGTATTAATTACTAAAAATATCTACTCATAACTTCCAAGAGAGGTTGTGTTTTTGTTTATATTTATAACCTCTCAGTGATGTAACGAAACATTGTATCACACACTTATCACACCAATCAACAATTAAATTGGCCTGAACAGCTGATTAGTTGAATTTCGAATCATTACAATTTTGCTTCTCATCTCTCAATCCTTGAACCTCATTGGTCCGTTACCCGTGTTAATATGAGTAAACTATGCTGTTATAAAAGTAAACAATGCTGTTATGAGATACTTTTCAATTCTAAGAACTGTACTGAAACGGCTACTTTAAAATACGGTCGTAGGTAAATGTGTTTTATTCGTTGATTGAACAAAGTACTGTTCGAATACAAATAAATAAAAAAAATAGAAATCACGTACAATTTTAAGGGAAAATTCTTAGGTAAATGTATCATCTTATTTATGTATTTAATTTGTTTAAAAAATGTTGACAAATCGTACCCTGAAGAAATATGCATAAAGGCTAGGATAGTTATTATTTAAACAAAGGAATGACATTTTTAACACATAAATGGTGTACAAACAAACAAGTAACACACAAAAGTAACAAGATTGTCTAAAAAATAAGATAATCAACAACTGACCAACAAAATAAGCCAACAATTGACACTTCTGGTAAATGTGATGAAAAATATTATTCTAAAAACACATTTTTTTATTTAATATTGTAAACTGAATGTTCGTAAGTATATACTGCGATACTATTTATGGAGCCGCCCTACCTAACCGCTGCGCGCTAGTGCAATGGCTTAGGATCTCCGTCACTGTTGGCTTAGTTTTTAACCGATTGGAAATAATATATTTATGTTAATTTATTCATGTCATACTTTTGAAAGCTTGTATGGTTTGTAATTAAGTGCTAATAGTAGAAATTTAAGTGTGAAGTGACTGGTAAAAACTTAAAAACAAGCTTTTTCTAAAGCATTTTACTTATGAGAAATTATTTTTTGATGGAAATTGAAACCAGAAAGTCATAGATTTGAAAGCAAGGTGTAAGAAACCTTCTTCAGATGAATCACAATTTAAAAGTCAACTGAACTCGAGAGGACTTAACGTGTGCAAGTGCTTCTTGCGGAGTTGTTCAAAGGCGCAACATAGCTACTGAAGCCCGAGCTGAGATTCCCGAGCTGAGGTAAAGCTTAAAATCATAAAATCACGAAACAATAATTTCGCCCAGAAATTAACATCTAAACTATTTCCGTATTGTTTCCGTAACTATTTGCGTATATACTAACGTCAGTTGTCGTTATTTAGAAGCAACATGTATTACTCGACCAACAAAATGATAAAATCAAATTGACAAAAGTCGCTAAATATAAAACGCCGATGTTGTGAACATACTGAGTCAACACGATAGTATACACAACAATATTTGGTTGACGATGCAAAAATTATTTATCTGGGAATATTAATCCTGCATGATCAGTGGACAAATTTATTTATCAGGTAAACTCGCCGGGAACGTCTTCGACTCCTGTTTTTTTATATTTATTTTTTGTTCTAGGGAGTTAAAACAACTCTTTAGCCTCGTAACCCATGCATTAAAAACATCCTTTTTCGCTGCAGTATGACAAAAATACGTAAACGAGTAAGGCAGTTGCCAAAATGGTCGCTTATAATGACGTCATTTTACAGAGCTGACACCAAAATGGCCGTCCGAGCCGTTTAATGACATCATTTAACGGGTGGCGTCATTATTCGAAGTCCTTGTTTACAGATCATTAGTGAGGATGATCTAACAGGAGCTTCAGAATAATTCTGATAAGGATTCACAGACGTTTGGGCCGAAATAATTGTTGAATTGTACAAAAGAAAATGTTGGTTGTTATCTAATGTAAATTGTTTATGGTAGTCTTGTATTTTGTAAACGTTTAGTTAGTAAGTAGCAACATGGTTGTTAGCAATGTTTTGCTCCATTGGTTATAATGCACAATGTATGTAAAATGTATCATTACCCCAATAAGCACGTGTACTCCAGCTGACTTTAACGGTTTATGTAAACTACAACTTTCTAGTCTGAAAAATAGCACAGAAAGAAGTTAATTACAGTTTACTGTAACGAAACAATTATTATTTGTGTGAGGAAATAATAAATGTAAGGTTTTTACATGTTGCTCTCTTGGTTTATTCTATGAAATATCATCGTCGTATATAAAAACAATTAGGCCATGCATTAAGATTATTGGCAGTAAGCCTCTTTAACACATTTTTGGCACTTATTATTTAATCGAATCGTATTGCAAAAGAATCGTTCCATTTTTATAATTAAAAGAAATGCAATTTGTTTACAAACGAAGGTTTGTCGCAATAAGCCTCTTTTAACATCACTTTGACAGTAATAATTAAAATTAAGCGTCTTATAGTTATACAAACACTTTTGTTTGTCTGCATTTTAAAAATTAACAGCAGTTTTTAATTTTTTCTTATCGTGAAGCCATCTTCTAATTAATGAAAGATTTAAAATAATGTCATCGTGACTGGGACGTTGACGTTAAAGCCGGATATTTAACGATTTTGAGTTTAATTATCATCTCACTACCCTTTTACAATGGTTTTGATAACCTTTTTTGCCTTTGGTTAATACTTTTCACGATCAGTAGTTTACTAGTAACATTACTTTACCGTAATAAAATAATTAATTTAGATTTACTTTTAAAATACTAGTTTTGTAAAATGACAGCTGAAATCACACAGATTTTCACAAATATAAACATTTAACATAAAATATTTATTTATCTCTAGTAACTAGATTTAAATAACCCGATTCTAGTTTTAGACCTTCTTATTTCATGTACACATTTACATTCGACGGGTTATAAGTTTTTGATTTCCCATAGTAAATTATTTACGTTGATATTTAGTCATTAAAAAGGTCTCATAAAATTGCATAAACTTTTGAAACTCGTATTCAAATAATAAATCCTCCCGAGCAAAATTCAATTTATAACGAATTTAATGACATATTAGATTAGCACGGACATTTGATTCCCTCTAGGTCCCCACTAACGCAATGAGGTCATGCCTTAAAGGCCCCATTTATGCACCAAGTGCGGGAGCGGTGCGATAGCGGGCCCGCTCCCGCTGTAAATGAGTCTGTTTATGCACGAAGAGCGATAGCGGTAGCGGTTGGTTAAAGGAGAATGGAAGGGGGACACAGTCTTGCCAACTCAAACTCTGCCAAATAATTAACACAACTATTTGTCCTAAGTGCACATGCGCGTGGGTCAAGTTGGCAACCCTGGCTTCAGCCCAAGCAACCGCTGCGATTCCTAACTACACAGCGGGCGAATTAGAAATCGCAGCGGGAGGTCAACCGCTATCGCTATCGCTCTTGGTGCATAAACAGCCCCATTTAACTCAATGGTGTTAGAAATCGCTCCCGCTGTCGCTACCGCTACCGAACTTGGTGCATAAACGGGGCCTTAAGATTGATACAATTCAGGATATTGTAATCGATATTGATATCGAATACACTACTACATCGCAGTAGATAATCTCTGTGGTTTAATATACCCACAGTTTCATTAAGCCTTCCTTTAGTGTATGTAAAACGTACGTTTCAGTAACCTACCATAAACATTTACAGTTTTGTATTGTCAAGCGATGTTTTAATTTATTAGTGATTCAAAATCATTTTAACTTCGTTACTAGCCTAGTGGTAGCGTCTCGGACTTCGGTGTGGAAGGGACGGGTTCGATCCCTGGCACACCCACAAAACTTATGGGTTTTGACCGCTCTTTGTGAAAGCATAAAACCTCAGATTTTTCCTTTGAAAATTTTACCAAAGTACGAAATTATAGCTGTATCCAAGAGGTAAAGTGTACTTTTATACCATCAGGAATTTTAGATTTGTCTTAATCAAGACAAAAATACCTTTATAATCAGAATTAGTGCAGATTCATCTTGGTTCTGGGGGTCAAACTATGATCTTAAAGGATATTCGTTCAGCATACGTTCCTTAGATTGAGTTTCAGATTGCATTCACTAGATGTAGCCATCGTGTGCTCCCACTATCTCCGCGTTCCGCCATCTCCGAACCCAAATCTGTCCCGCCACCTCCAAATTCTTGAGTGACCCTTATAATCCCGTCACTGCCTGCGTTATTAGCTGTCATTGCATCCACGGCTGCGAAGCCCCGTGGATGGAAGATTTAATGAAAATTTAACCCGTGGGTTAGGTTAGGTTAGGTTAGGTCAGGTCAGGTTAGGTTAGGTTAGGTTAGGTTAGGTTAGGTTAATTTAGGTTAGGTTTGGACGGAAAGTCTTAACGCAGGAAGTAACCGAGGATTATAGGTGTCACTCTGAAATTCGGAGATAGCGGTACACGGAGGTGGCGGGACGCGGAGATAGCGGGAGGTAACCGTAGCCATAACAAATTGACCAAAATGATCCACTGAGTTATCTTTTATTTCGTGGGTTTCGGTACCGTGGCAGTTGATGTTACTCTATGTTTGTTCTTTGGTTCTGTATGTAGATGGTCAGTTTTGAGCAAACTTTGATAAATTTATTGTGATAATTTTGAAAAAAATTATATTAATTACTTTTTCAAATCTTATAGAAAATTAACACCGTTTGAAGGTTTCTGAGGGCGAATTCGTATGTACCTAGTTATTATCCTATGTGTATTCATGGGTATTCTCCTTTTTATATTTATTCATTTATGTTTTTTCTTCCAGGAGGGCTGTGGGGCAGAGTCCCCCCTCGCCGACACCGCCCCCCACCACACAACCCCCGTCTCTGCCTACCCTTACAACGCCCAGGTGAGTAGGTGTTTAAAAATACAGTAAATTATGAATAAATACTATTAATTAATTACTCTTTGTTCAAAACATATACCTAATCATCAAATGGAAAACAGTGGCTTACTTTGTATGCCTACTGTTTTGTATTCTAATGTTGTATTAGATGTTGACCCGGTGGCGTGAAGGTCATGATGCGAAGGTATTAAGACGAGTATCAAATCTGTAAGATCATGGCGTTGTTACTGATTGAAACCAGATAGTTCAACCAATACTGTTAATTAAAATAATTTTTTTTATCCTCTACGTTTTAGTCAGAAATTTGTTTCCACATTACTTCAGGCTAGGTCCTGGGACCTCTGGGACCGAAGACCCGCGCTCTATCACTATCTCCTTACTCCCGGAATTGTTTATGATGATTAAAAGGCCAATCACAGCAATCTTATACAGTTGCATGGTCTAGTTCCGAAATAAATCATCAAAAAGCTATTTGCTTTTCTCAGGATCAAACAGGTAGCCTTCTGGTTAGTGAACGAGTACTATGTCCATTCAGTTAACGATTCACTGTACTACCCTGTATAATAGTAGTCCATTTTACCATCTAACCTCTTTTTTATTTGAATCTGCTCCCACCCCCATCTCATGTAAGTTTTTTTTCGTAATAACAAGTTGAATAGGGTTAAATAATATATTTAATCATTAATATAATTTTTTTTTGTTCTGAATAGTGTAAACCTTGTGGCAAATCACTGTTTGAATTAAAAGATAATAATTTGTTAATTATATTCAACTCTACTTATATTTTTCCTACTAGAATAATACTGCAAGTTTTAAAACTATTTACACCTTTCCAATAACATAGCTCTTTGAACAGCAACATAATCTTGGTCATGGAGAAATAATATATTTTGTAATCTTTTTATAACTTCCTTTTACACCCTAAAAATGTGTTTCTCGTCGAATAAATAATAAAGACGCTCACATGACGTGATTTGTGAACTATGTTGGGTGTAAACAATACAATAAATTCGCCTGGGACTTTATGGGGCCATTAATTGTCTTTATGACTCAACTGCATTAGGATAATAAATCACAAAACATTTTCGATTGTTATGAATTAGTTTTTTTTTTTTCAAGGGAGGTATGAATTCTAATGAAAATGTTAAGCAGTAATGTTTAATTTTTGTATTCATCTGAAAAATAAATTAGATTGAACAAAGGTCAGATAATTGTGTATGTTACTTTCTTATCCACCAGTTAGTTAAAGGTTTCTTTGCGTCATCCTACAGATATTCGTAAAGCGTAAACATGTTTTGGGTTTGGCCAAAATGAATCGGGTTGAGGATCTTATTGGTTTGTTTTGGCAGGATTTGCTTTGTACAAGGACAGACTTTTTTTGTAAATACATTGACTACAGACTTCGTGAATAGTGTGCTTTTTAAAGCTATAAAAATTGAAAACCGGTTTGCATTAGTACCTCTTTCTTTCTCTGTTTTATTTATAATATTATCTTAATACATACGTCTTATTAAAACCGACAAACGTATTTTGTTATTTTACCATTTTTTCACGTGTTTGTTGAAATAAAACAGAATGTATGTTTGATGTCACCAAGTGTAAGTATTTTCCTTTTTTAGTCCATATCGATTTTTAATGTCAATAACAACACAAAAACAATGAACATAACTGAATCTTCAATCCAGTCATTACCTAGTGAAATAATCTTATTAACACTGGTATAAATTCTAATTATTTTAATATTTTGACTTTTTATCAGTTATATTAATAAACCAATGTAAATTAAATAATAAACCCTCTAATTTACCGTAACATAATTTTAAGTGAGATTTTGTCAACAACGTAAAGTTACTTTCTTCAGTCAAATTCTAGTAAATTTCTCAAAAATTAAATGATTTATATAAAACCGATCATGAATTAAAATATATAATGTTTACAAGTTACACTTTTCTACAAACTTGTACCAAGAACAACCGAACATCCACCAAGTTACTGAACATTGGTCCACTAATGAACCGAATGTACCCCATTACGTAGTTACTGCATTAATACATAACTTGAGTTCCCTTGGTACACATATAAACTATGTTTCATATAAGTGTTGGTTTTCCATCATTAGGAGTTCCAAAGTAGAATTAATTTAGACAACTGAGTGTTTTAAATCTTCTTTTTAGGCCAATTTGTTTTACTTAAAATCTATTTGGTTGTTGACAAAGTGTTGATATTGACCTTGATGCTCTTTAAATCTATGTTCACAAATATGCTGAAGTATTTGCCAACAGTTTTTAATGAAAGAAGATTTTGTTAGAATTTTTCAAACTAAAAAACGCATTGATTTTCAAGCGGATTTTCAGCGTCTTGTTTGTGCAATTGCAATTTCTATTCTGTACTCTCTGGTATTAATGCAGGGAGGCATTTTCAATCTACAACTGTTACAGTATTTTGGTTTGAGCTATTGAATACAAGTTTAGTGTAGCAATATTTCTAACATACCTTTGTTCATATCTTATTTATTCTCTTCTCCGCAAAATATATGCCTATTCATGTTAAGCTATCAATCAGTTTTTTGCCTCTTGAATATTTAAGCAGAACGAGTTTTAAAATATAAAAGATAGTGGATAGTATAAAAACAGTTTAAGAAAACACGAAATAAAGATATTTCATTTATTTCTTATACTGGGCTCTTAATCTTAATGTAGTAGAACAATACTGTTCTTCGTATATAAACACTAAATGTATATTACGGCCATGTTTTAATTTAGTGTCATCTTTCAAAGCTTAAAATTAATTTTGTATTTTACAGAATTGCAAAACTGAAGAAATGCAGTGCTATTTCAGTTGCTTTAAAATTTTCATTAGTGTCGTTGTTAATATTATAACTGAAATAGTTTAATCACATTAAACTATTGCCATACTTAAATGATATTCATGATAATATTAAATTATATTATACTGGAATTATGTGTTTAATATTACACATAATGGTATGCATTATCACCGAAAAATAAGTACTTTTCTTTTATGTTTTGTTATTTTTTACCAAGCAATACAAATATAACGCTATTTGTATAAGATTTGTATATGCTAGAACAAAAAATGCAAATATATGACGACTTTTTATATGTTTTCAGCGTTTGATAAGCGGCTTGGCTAATGTTTTAAAATATTAATGTTAAAATAATGTGTTTAAAAGAAAGAAAAATAATTGTAACTTCTAGAAACCAATGTATTTTATAAAGAGTTCGTCGACTCTTGAAATCAATAAGCTTCGTAGAAACAAAGCCAACTCCTTTGACAACCAAACTGCTTGAAGCACTTTGTTGTTTTCTTCTAGACTTAAGAAGAAAATCTGAACAATATTCTACTAAATAATATTTGAAGCCTTAGAAAGTAATTTATATTACATCATGTTAACGTTAGTTTTGTATTCAATAGTTTTAATTGCTATACAGAATATGTATAAGCTCAATTTTTAATAAATAAAACGATTTGACTTCGTATCTGTTTTCAAATAAATTTTTTAAAACCTAGTAATTTATTATACGCTCAATAGTTGCAGGGATATTAAAAAACGCAATATTTTGTCTCCTTTAACACCAAGGAGGATACATGAATCATTATAGATTGCTCGTTTATTTTTTAAAAGAAAAAAAATGTTTTGTGTATTTTTATCACCAACAGATAACCTAAGAAAACGTAAGACGTTTTATAATTCACATTAATTCCTAATTTACTCGCTAAAGATCAACACATTTCATATCAAATCATCAAATAAATCTGAATAAGTTGAAAACTTAAACTTATCTTTTTAATCTATTTTAATGATTAATGTTCACATTAAGTAAAAAATTTTCAAACAAGGTTAATTGTGCTTATTGTGTGTAAAATGCGTATCTTGTGCACTCTAAAAATTACAATATCTGTTTGCATAAAAGTCCAACGTAATAGTAATTACATGAAAATATAATTTAATAAAATGTGAAAGTAAGTTAATTTTTTGTTTTATTTAGAGGTGGCATTTTCAACCCTGATACAACAGTAAAATTCATATTTTTAACTGGAATCATTTCCCCTCAAAATGAAGATGACGCAATAGCAAATGCAATTGTGGTGGTAATTGGAGAGGGAAAAGTAATTAACTCTACAAAGATTCTGATTTTGACGCGAACACTTGACAGATTCAAAGAGAAATTTCGCTTACTCAATAACGAACATTATAAATGGGAACATAGCAATCGTTTTAAAGGTTCCATAAAAGTGCCTAAAACGACAGAAAATATACATATCGTCCAAAAAACACTTTCTTATAATGTGAGAAAGTGAGGGTATTATGAATATGTTAACAATTACTACTTTTGATGGCTTGATTTCGTTAGATAGCGTTGTAACTACGTTTGCTAGGAAAGTTATACTAGTTTTCTAGGGTTTTACAACGAAAGAGTTTGGAGAGATATTTAATGGCATACATATAGTCTAAAAGTGTTTGCATTTAATTAATTAATAACGGTTTTTTTTTAAGTGGGAATGTGAAACATGTTATAGGTAAAGCAGGAAGCTTGGTATTTTAATTATAATGAATACCTCTTTGCGGCAAATTAAGTTTGTGTACAAAGTAAGTTTTCAGTTACTTTTTATTGGTATACTTAGATTTAAAATTCGTTATTAGCGAATTTCCCATATAGGGAATAAGCTATTACCGTAGTACTCATGGTAAGACCTGGACGCGGGACCGATTTTTTTTTCATTTTGAGGTCCCTAGAGGCCAAAAACACCATCCGTTCAAATTCATATATATATATATATATATATATATATGTCCGTTAGCGCGATAACTCGAGCAAAAATGATCCGATTTTGATAAAATTTGGTACAAACGTGTAAACCTACAATTATTCGAACGAGTTCGCGATCCAGCATAATCGGACCATGGGAACAGGGGTTTATGGGGGGTTTTATGTGGTAAAAATGTGTTTTTCCCATTTTTTACCCTAAAAACAAAATAT